ATATATATAATCAGTGAGTCAAATTCTCCAGGATGAAACAAAACTGTGGAGGTTTCATTGCTTCTTGCTGTTCTGATATTTCAGGGTTTGATACCTGTGTTGGCTGGAATTACTCGGCGAAGTGTGTTTATGACGTGGTCGTCAGAATAATATCATTGACTTTTTGAAGAGGGAGGCTGCTGATGCACGAGCGATGAGAATATTTAGGTCCGGCATATACGGTGTTGCAGATCCCCGAAGAAGTGGTCAGCGTCCACCACTAGGAAATGTGGAAATGGTGGGTGAAGCCTAATTTGCCACATATCCCTCGGATGGATGCTTGCGACGTCAAAGCGCTTTCATTCATTTGTTTACCCATCATTGAGCTGGGAACATTCTCCCGGACGGAGATCACATAGTATGTTGATTGCGTGCCGAATTCTATCTTATCTTGCTTGTGCTCTGTAAGAAGAGGCTGGCTAGATATATTCCACGCAGATAGATACCGAGACAGCGTCTTGAATCACTGCTTCATCAGTAGGAGGACCACGCTACCGTTGATACTCGATCGTAGAGATGAAAGTGCAGCGGTTGAGCCATTGCTTTGTGGAGGTGGACGTGCATGAGATGATAAGGATTCTCACCGTCGGCGGGAATCTGTATCTGGGAGGTCCACTGCTTTGCAGCGAACATTCCTACCAAAGTTGCCCCGATCTTTCGCCCTCCGAGCGAGAAGACCGCTGCGATGTGGCGGTTGTTCTTATGGATCTTAGCCTTCCACATCTCTCGGACAAGCAGAACTTTTTGGCATTTGGCACGCATCAAAGTGGAGATTCGATGGCAACAGAAAGCTCCGCCATGGCGGCCGACTTGATGGAATCGAAATGATAAGCTTGACCACACTTTCATTCCCGAGTCATAGGAGGAGAAGCATTCCTTTTTTTATCCTTTTTTTATTTATTTATTTCGACCATTTACTTTTATTCCACGAAGATACAGTGCCTGCATTTCTGCCAGTCTGATAAACAAGATTCGTGTACTTTGATCGAGTTCTCTCTCTCTCTCTCTCTCTGTGTCTCGAAAACAAATGTTGCAGCAGCGTCGATAATGCCAACACCTGTGACTTACCACCTTCATACTCGTGATATAACAAAAGAACAAATGCCGCAGCAGATTTGGGAGCGTTTTCGGCACATCCTCTTCTTCGGTAGTGCTGCAACTTGGCAGAAGCAGCCTTTGGATCTTAAGCAACGCCGAAGAGGCAAAACGGCATCAACTTGCAGTCAAGGATCCACATGGTCCCGACTCCACTCCTGAAGCCACTTGCTAAAAGTTATATCGAGGAATCTTGGATCGTGGACAATGAACCAAAGCATTTTTAATCCCCTCCATCGAGCATGATTCTTACTCTGATATATTTTCTTTTGTCTCTTCATGTTCTGAAAGTTGCTTCTTTTACATACCTGAGGTGATCTCCATATGCCATATGACTTGCTGGAATGCTGGGAAGGGTAATATCTTCTTAATGCAGCTTGAATTGATGGACACAGTAGAGAATCTAGCGGAGGTGGGAATATTCTCGCCGCAGTAGAACAAAAGCTGCAGGCCACATGACGGCATCCCCCCCCCCTCCCCCTTCGAACAGGGAACGAGGGAGAGGGATAAGGTTGATTGCGTGATTCCATACGGCTAAACGGGAGGGGTAACAGCTGGGTTTGATTCAGTGCTGTGTTCTTTTTTGTTCAGCAGCATCTCTGTGATCTTATTCTTATCCCAGATTACGAACATGATTAGTGCAGGACCAGTGCTTTCCCGATTGAATGCTACGGACACAGATGCAGATGCTGCGTCTCTCGTAACAACAGTCCATGCCTGGGTGTTAATTAGAATGAAGATTGATGACAGTGTGGGAAGGAAAAAAAATATCCTTTCTTCTAAGAGGTAGGTTGTGATTCTCCATTCACTGATCCCCTATTCACGATCTTTATATATTCTTCACCCCCTCCACCCCCCCTCCCCACAGTCTTGTGGCTCTGAAACTTCCGAGTCATCCGGTATTGTTGTCATGGCCTTCCTACTCCTCGAATGGAGTATGATTCGACAAGTGGATCCGCCCCAACGTAGCCCCCACATGCAAACCCTGCCTACTGCGTCCGGGCTTATAAGAAGCACCGCCGGGGCAGAGGCATTCCCCACACAGATCAGCTAGCTCCACCAGAGAAGCAAAGCAAACCCTTCTTCCCTGAGATGGCATCCGGTTCGATGAGCTCCTCCTGGACCGCGAAGGAGAACAAGATGTTCGAGAAGGCACTGGCGGTGTACGACAGGGACACCCCCGACCGCTGGCACAAGATCGCCCGGGCCATCGGCGGGAAGACGGCGGACGAAGTGAAGCGCTACTACGACCTGCTCGTGGAGGACGTGCGCCGCATCGAGGCTGGCCAAATGCCGTACGCCAATTACCGGTCCTCTAATGGCAGAGGTATGTGATCGCTTTTCCAATACCTTCGCCATCGACGGTTCCTTCGGCTTCTCCCTGCTCCGCCATTGCGCTCTGCCAGAAAGCCTACGTGCTGCATGCTTTCTCTGCACTCGGAGCGCTCT